TCCATGGCTATAATAGCTATTGGTTTTTCTTCCCATCTTTTCATGGTTCCCAGGGAATCTGTAGATAGGTGTTGAGTCTTACATCTTTCATGTCTTGGGATGACCGAGGTGGACATCACAGATGCATCTTTTCTCAATCGACTTTGTCCCAACAAGCCTCCTAAGGCCATCCTTTTTTCCTCCTTTGGGAGGCAGCACGTCTGAGTTGATTGGTTCATCTTGAAGGAGTCACTTCTCACACCCATTTCATTTCTCATTCATTTGGGTGTTTTTTTGTTGTTTTTTTTTCTGCAGGGCTCGGCCTTCTACTCTTCTTTTGAAGGACATGCCATTTCATTTCTTTCCCTCACTAAGCAAGTGGTTCTCTCTCTCTTTTTGAAAATCTGGGCTTCCATGGAATTCCATATCCCCTTAGGTCGTTGCTCATTTGCAATGTCTACAATAGATTACACCTTCTCTGGATCCTTGCTTGGGGTACCTTGTCTTCAACCATTCTACTTACTCAAAGACTTCACTTGGTGACTTGATAAAACTACTCCCTTTATAGGTATTCGTCTTCCTCTCATCTGGGTCTCTTTCTGTTTATAGGTGCCACTTTGACAAGATGGGGACATATCTTGTCTCTCACATGTATGCAAGTGATTAGTAACACAACATATCATCCCTTCAAGTATCTTTTAGAACTTTTGGCAGTACTTTGAATTTTGGATTTTTAAGGATGATTCATAGTTCTCCTTTGATGATACATACAGTCTGCAGTTATCTCACTTACCAATCACCAGCTGGACACTGTTTTGCTTTCCCTGTTTCTGCACTATTGCCTTCTTTTTTTTGAGCCCATTCAATACAAATATGTTTAATAGCTTTTTCTATTCCAGGTGCCATGAGTCTTGGTGTGGATCATTTCTTGAAGCCCACCAAGATACTACTTACGGATTGGTCCTTCTTTCCTCTGGTGTTCAAGTTGCTGTGCTTTCATCTGGACACCCTTCTTCTAGATGATTTTGTCACTCTTCTCAACACTCTACTTCCCCTTTCCTGGTCCCCTGTTCCTCTCCCCCTCAGCTTTAGCTGAGGATGAATTCTGTCAGATCTGGCCCAACTTTTTTCACCAAGGCTTACCCCCTGCTTGTCATCTCTCCTGTGTTTTCCCTCATTCTGGACACTCCTTGTTGAGACCTACTGATAACTTTTTACTGGCCAGCTCAGCCATGTATTCCTCTATTATGCATTCTCCTGTCCTCTCCTCCTCTTCTTTTACCCCTGTCACTCTCCCTACACCTTCAACCTTACCCCTCCCTCTCCCATCCAGCAGTATCACCAATCTGAATTCACGTATGGATTTTGTCTGGTCCCTTACGAGACAATCCAGACTCTCTTTACATTTTTCTTCCTTCTTTCTTGTTCAGTTTTTCTTCCTCCATCCTTGTCTATCCATGACAAGAGTGCACATTCCATAGTTGATCTCTGCATCATATTTTCTTCCATTCCCTTCCAAATTTTTACCTTGACTGCTCAAATAAGGCTTCTTGCTTTTGACCAAGGCTGGTTACTGGGCAGCTCTACCTAATACTTTCAGGTTTTCTTATTATCGTCATGTGTTCTCCTTTCCCGTCTTTTCTATGCTCTTTTGTTTGTTTTGCCTGTGACCATAGGAGATATGACGTGTATGCCATTGCTGCTTTCCATATTTTTCTCCTTCCATCTTTCAGTATTCTCATTCTGTTACAAATCATTTTTTTGTCCCATCCACATGGTTCTTTGTTCTTTGGCCTACTCTGCACCATTTCACAGTTCATCTTCCATCTATTTATTCTTTGGAATTCTTCATAAAACTGTAAATTTTATCTTTGTTTGGGTTCCGAAAAAACACTGCATGTACTTTCATTGTGTTTATCAAACTTATTTACTATACCAAAATTAGAAACAAATGAACTTTGTTTGTTAACAGGTAATGATAAGATTTCATTTAATATATATAATAAGGTTTAAACTCATTTATATTCATTAATTAATTTTTTTTACATTTTATTCTGGTTATTTTCTTTGGCATTCAAGCCCTTACCACTTACCAGCTCCTAGCTGCTTGGATGGTAGATCATCGAGGCTTCCTCCTAAGTGTGCTTAATCCCACTCATTTGAAAGTAGGGTGGTGGTGTTCTTCTGGTGTAGATGGCATTGATGCTCATCCTACCACAGACATGATGTACAATTCCAGATGCCCTCAGGTGTTGGATGATGCAGTTTGACCCTCCAGCTGATGCACCCGTGATGTTGTTCCTAGTGGATATGGTGATGGTTGGAGCTGGACCAGCCACATAAGTCCTGTGTGTGACTGCTTCCGCTTAATCAAGTGTAGGGCAGTGGTGTAAATGGTTAGTACCCTCACCCAACCATAGACCAGAAGACAAATTCCCAATGCTGCCTGGTTTTGGACTGGATGAATCTACCACATGCAGTTCATCCCTCCAGCTAGCTTTCCCCCATCCTGGTGCTGCCTGGATGTCAGTTCCTGGGTTGTATGGTGTTGGATCAGCATAAGACCAGCCAAGATAAGTCTTTACACATGTGGTTAGTAGGAACCCTCCTCCTCCTCCTGCAAACAGAATAAAAATTCCAGATGCCACCTGGGTTTGGATTAGAGTTGACCCACCACATTTGCATTCCCCCTTCCTACCATCACCCAGATGTCAGGTTCTCAGGTGGCCTGGTGTTGGCTATGTACTGTATATATACACACATGTGCCCTGCTTGGTTTGTCAGAACAGAAGATGCTATACCCTTCTGCTTCCAAGCCTTGAAGTGAGAACAGTTGGGACCCTCCTTCTACCATGGACTGGACAACATATACTCGATGCCACCTGGTTTTGAATTGAAGTTGACAAAACGATTACAGTCTGATGCACCCTAGCCTCTCTACACCATCTGACTCCTCTTATTACTGATTGGACTGGCATCTTTACAACTGGCAGAGAGTGCACCTAGTACAGATGGGTATGGTTCCACAAGTGCACACCCTATATATTATGGTATTTTACTCCTTGGATATTCTTTGAGTGTCTTCAAAAGAGTGCTCATCTGGGTAATATTTGCATTGGTAGGTAAGGTATCCATCCTCCGCACTTCTGGTTCATCTTTTTTTTTGCCTAACCTCAAAGTGATAATTGTTCTCTACAGTATAGAGAGAGTCAGTTGTGCTGGGAGGGTGTGTCACACTCCTATTGGTGAAGGGTTGTTGCATGCTCATTTGCATGCTATAATATAGCTATACCACATGTAAACATGTGATGTTAGATGGGAGTCTCCAGGCTAGTGGCAAGCAAAACTTGCACATGTAGAAGGAAACACAAATCAAGGAAAACTATTGTGTGAGAAGAGATATCTATCAGAAATACATTTTCAGTGTAGGAAAATGTTAACATATGTCAAAATGACAGAGCCCATATACAGAGAGTTAAGAAAGATAGAAACCTGATTTAAATTATTTCAATTCTAGTCAGTTTTATTGTTAAAAGTGTTCATAAGAAAAGTGAGAATTAAAATGATATATACGTTATTCCTGGAATGTACGTAATACTTTTGTTGCCAATACCTGCAACTTCAACAAAAGTGCTTGCTGCAAAAGTATTTAAACTTATGGAGTCTTTGCTGGCAACCACATCCTTGATGATAGTATCATCTTCAAGGATCAGGAAGAAATTCATAAGCTTTTGAACCTATTTTTGAACATGGTTTTGTATTTTCCTGTTTTTTCCTTTTCTTTTTTTGGCAACTATTCTCAAACGTTCTTTTCAATTCGTTGAGAAAACTTTGGAGAAAAAAACAGCCATAAATATTTACTTTCATTGTAAAAATGATAATCTTTTAAATTGGGAAATGACAAAAATATGTTTTGTATTTATTAAAAAAATAATACTATTTCACAAACAGGGCTAATTTAAGTTGAGGTCAAATATGAGTGAAAAATAAAAATGTACTCAAAATTTTCTTCAATCAGCTTTCACGTAGAATAATTCAATTTTTGTACAGAATGAACACTACTATACTTTACTCTTTACTTTATATTGAAGTTTACTCTGCTAGGTAAACACAGGGTTGTTGGTCAGCCTGTATCTATTGTAATTGATGATATGATGCATATTATTTTGTCTTTGTTACTCATTTGCTCAAATATGACATTTGTCAAGTTGTCCTACATAATTTACATGAGCTCCTGGTTTGCATTCGAAACCTAGTTAATCCTCACTGCACTTATGGAAAGAAACATGACCATAAGACCGCATTAGCTACAGATATTCAAAACATCGACAGGAAGAAAGTAATAAAACAACAAACTATATTGGTACATAATAAACTACATCGTTGCTGTTTGGGGCACATACTTTAAGTAAGGCTTGGGGCCCAGATAACCTGGTCATATGACCCATAAGTTATAAAAACTAATATGAATATTACATATTAGTAGTATTTTCAAATATGTTTTAAAAATTTCCTTTTTTATTTAATAGTTCGCAATTCCATGTATGGTATAATAACATGGTCCTGGTACAACTGGCATTCTACATCTTGTGGAGTTTGTGACATATTGAGATAAGAATTTTATTGAAACAAAACCTGGGCCACTACAATATTAGATAAGGGCTCTAAGAAGATGATCAGCGAGAATAGGATAACAATTTTATATTGCAGTCCAATTTCCAATATGAAATTCAGTTATTGCAATTTTTTTCATAGTAAAACATTTAACATATCAGATGCATATATCATGTAGTACCAGCACTGGAGCAAAAGATACAGTATTTGCAAATGCATACAATCATTCTATGATTCAATGGAAAAATGGAGTAGTAATTGATGAAGTTATAACTTTAGTAAATAGTTATTATTAACGGTTGTGTATTTTGGAAGGTCATATTTTTCTATCAAGTTAGAAATAATTCTCTTTTTTTGGTGTTAAAAGCTTCTAATGGTGACTTTAATTAAGGTTACATTCTTCCTAGGGAAAACATCAATAAATGGAAAATTATTCTGCAGAGTAACAGTAAATATGTTGAAGAACATGAAATTTCAGAAGAAAAGGATGAAACTGTGGAGAATCAAGAACATAAAGAAGAAGACAAGATACAATCCAGCTCGTTCAAAATAAATGAAAATGAATGTGAAAGCAACGAACAGTTTTCTTCTTTACAAACAACTGAAGAAGAGCGTGATAAGAAAACTGTGCTAAGTGACACAACACAATCATTAGCGGAAGAAAAATATTATTCAATAGAAAAAGAGAAGAATGACAAGAGTTCTAAAAAATGTTGCATCTGTTTTTAACTATTGTTGTATTGTGCTCTTGACATTGTAATATTTTTAAGTTTGATGTGTAAATAAATATAAAAAACTAAATTATCATACACTATTTAACTTATTTTAAAAAGCTTATAATTTTCTATTTTCAATAAGTATTAAAATACTTGAGTTTCGTACATTTTTAGTTGTATTCTTAGGGATAATATATTTTAGCTATTGACTGTATTATAGTACTTTCATATTGTTCGTTTAGTTGTATTTTCTATGATTCTATTGTTTGCTTTGGATATTACCAAGATTTTATTATTCTGATTTTTGTATTATTGCAACACTTGAATTTTGTGTATTTTATTGCATGTGTTTAGATTTTATTAATCTGCCATACATATTACAGTAGTATAACATTTGAATTTTGTGTTTGTCTCATTTGACAGTTTTAAAATAGTTGGATTTTGTGTTTGTTTGAATGTATTCTTATGAAGTGTTTTGTATCTCATTTATTTGGCATAAACATTCCAAAAGTGTATTTTTAACAACTGTAAAACTTGGAGGTAGATATTTCTTAAAACTTCACCTTTTTTGTTACATCTTTCATATTAACATTTATACATCTACAAAAATGTGTTCATAATAGGCTTAATAAGTAAATTGTATTATAGTGCATGAAAAACAGTTTTAAATGTTTTAACAAAGGAAGCCATTAACAAACATTGTTTATGCATATATATATATATGTATATTTGTTAACCTTGTAAGCAGGCATGTAGAGGATTCTGTGCAATATGGTGTGTACTCAGTTCAGGGATGTCAAAAAATACATTTATGGATGTGGCTATGAAAATACGTTTGAAACTTTAAAAAAACAAGGTTTTTTTTTCCCTTGACAATTTATTTGTTATGAAACATATTAGAATATGTTTGTATTGTACAGTTTACATTACTATTATTTTGGAACATGTATGCATACATCCTTTGCAATTACTTCAATTACAAAATCAATGTAATTACAAAGATATTAATTTAAAAAGGAAAATTGTACTTTAGACATAACATGGAAAATTACAATCTCTCAAAATAAATTACAATAGTTTCAGAGTATTATAAATAGTGTCATATTGATTGTGAAGAATAAAAACTCCTTCTTGCTAAAAATAATACAAACATTTAAATTAAAAAAATATCCCAGACAATACAACAGAAATAAAACTTACTACTTTTAGTCTATTTAGAAATAAATTGTTAAACATGTATCATTATGTCACAGTTTGTATAATGCCATATATTAAAGAACATGACAGTTAATAAAATCGTATAAGAGATGACTGTACTTCAGAATGTTTGATTTAAAACCTGAACAACACTAAAAAAATGCATAAGTTTTTTCAAAAGATGGTGCCTTTGTTAGTAGCAAAAGAACTATTCAAAGAAATTTACAAATTGGGCTAGTGTGTGCGTCACATGCATAGTTTGACATATAGGGATTTTAACTTGAACTCATTGAAGTAGTTGAATGTAATCCTTGGGGAGGGAAAAAAATCATAACACAATGGAAGTAACTCCTTGGGATGTCTTCCAATTTACACTTGCATGAAACCTTTAAAATTTCACTTGGCTTATGATGCCTATATCAGTAAGGATCACTAATCTTTGTCAGATGTGAAAGTCTGAAAGAAACTCTTAAGAAGATTCTATACACATCCGATATCTGTGTAACAGTGTTGTCCAAACTCTTTCAAAACAGTCGGGAAAAGATATGTTGATGTCCATTTCTTTGTCCCTGTTTTGTAGTTGTCGCTTTTGAAATAACTTCTAATTTCACCCTTCCATAGCTGGTTTAGAATATATCTACATAAATAATAAACATGCATTTGACTGTCTGTCTGAAACTTTTCTTGCAAATGTCTTGATCAAATGCTATACAAATCTTGTATCATAAAGGCCTATGTCCGAGGATTCTAAATTGCATATTAGCTTGACAAAATTGTAACGAGTAATTTATGTTGAATGTAATACTTCTTAGAGGGGATGCTTAGAGAGAAAGTCTCACAATTCTCATACTAGGGAAACTCAGGATTTCTTTTTAATATTTCGTATTAAATGTAAGAATTTAAAACTTGTAAACTATTAAAATATGTTTATTAGCCATGTTTTATGCTATGTTTTTTCACATACCATGATAAGAAAGTAGTTTAATTAAATTTTGAATGTAACTCACTGAAACCTCATAATATGAGCAGAAAAGGATGCCTGTAGTGAGAGAGTTATATAAAGTTATGTCTATGTGAGTTTGTCTGTTTGACCATATAAAGTTTTTTTAAATAGACCATGCAGGATTTACTGATCTAACACACAATACCTGTAAGAAAGTGTAACTAGCTTAAATGGCATTCGTGAAAATGATAGAATAAGGAAAATTCAAGCAAGGGCATGAAAACTACCACAAATGTTTTGTAGGTCAATGCTAGTTTAGGTATATTCAGGTAATTTTTCTAAATTTTTTTTGTAGGTTTTCTACAGTAGTGAAATACATCTTTGTAAACTGGACCTTAAGAAATTGTAAATTTGCATGTTCTTTTGTTCAGGTAAAAGTTACATGCTACAACAGCTATTGCTTAGAAGCTTGTACCAGTTTGACCCTGTATTTGTATCTACTCTTTGGGTTAAGGCAAACCCTTCTTTAAGGATGACACAGATAATTGTACAAGTTAGTATGAGTACTTTTCCTATATGGGTGAAGAGTATACTCTGGATGAGAAAAGATGCAATTTCCCATGGGTGTGCCCTTATGGAACCCCTGCCATCAGGTGTCACACCCCAAGAGCATTCTTTGGATGCTTTCCGAAGGTGCTCATCAGGGTAATTTTTACACTGACTCTTCCACCATATTAATGTGGGATTCTAACTAATCTGTGTGGAAGTGAATTATCATCTCTGAAGTTAACATTTTTCTTATCTGACAATATATTTACGACAGGGGCTCACCTCTGTACACATTCCCACTTTTTTCTACTTTTTCTTACTTGCTTCATCAAAGAATGAAGATTCGCAAATGCAAGTTCATGGGGGAGAGGAATTAGCTCACATTGAGAGGTGTATCGCCTTCCTATTGCTGGAGGACTTTTGTCACATGATGACATCATAATGCATTGGTGCAATTCACTTAAAATCACGTGTAATTAGGTGGGGGTTGCCTCAAGACTAGTGGCATGCAACTCTCTTTGGTAATCATGCTGAGAAAGATAGTTAATCTGTGGGAGAAGGTGAGTGTCTATTGGAAATACATTTTCAGGTAAGGAAAACGTTACATCTGACCTGGTAAAATATTAGCCATACACTAGGCCAGACTTAAAGCTAGATGATGTTATACTCAAATAGGCTTGGTTAGAATATTTGTAATTGGCTTCAAAAGTAAGTTTTCTTACTGTTCACTAATGTGTGTTTTCATCATGATCAACTAGTACCTTTCACATAGGTACTTGTTCTTTTGTGTATACACATGAATGAGACTCCTATAAAAATGACACAAGGCTCATGATAACAGGTTGAAGAATCTAAGCTTTAATCTAAAATTAAAGTTGTTTGTCCTTCAATGATGAGCAACAATGTACTGATGAAAAGCAATGTTATTAAGCTTCACTTTGCTGGTAGCTTCCCTCTTGTTCTTCCATCAGGGGCTCAGCTCCTGAATCCCACTGGTGGCCCGCTGCCGCTCTCGACGGCCCTGGCCCTCTTCTATCATATATGAGATCCAAACTTTAAAAATCAGTCTTAATAGACAAATGTATAAGCCTGTCTGATTCAGCTCAAATTTTTATAATTATTCCATGATTCTCAAAGATCAGACAAGTAAAGGAAAACATTATTAAGTAATTAGGATGCTGCAGCCGAACTTAATCGAGCAAACTAAAACAAGTCTCACAATTTCAATAACAAAATAAAGTGCAATTTATATTCAAAATTAAAACTGAGTTACATGCAAAATGATCATAGGAAATATGACCCCAAATTAAAATTTAGAATTCAAAGTAAAATAAAAATGTAGTAAACTTAGAATAATATTAGTAAAATATAACTACTAACATCAGGTTAAAGTCACGTAAGAACAATTTGGTTAAGATAAAAATGAATAAAAACCCTATAATCCGAGCGCTTTCGAAAGGTGGACCTTTCTTCTTCAGGAGCAAACTGGGAAGATTGGTTAAAGTAAAGAAAGTGATCTAAACTGTAATGATGAACTTGTTACAAAATTGAAGATTAACACAATTTAAATCATAAAACAAACTCAACATCTCATAGCCACAATCCCAAATACAAATGAAATATTGAATACATTTTATTATTCAGAATCACTAATGGTCATGAGAAAATATATAAATATTCTGCAATAAGTATAGATTAAGAAAATGCCAAGCAAAGAAAAAAAAGATAGCAACAGGAAAAGAAACAAAACAAGTGAATGAATAAAAATTACAAAATCTTTCTTCTCACAAGTCATGATATATTAAGGTATTTCATAGAGCTGGGCTTCATTGTCCATCAGATAAAATTTATTTTACTGCTGAAGATGAAGAAAGTAAGTCTTCTTATCAAGAAGAAAATAATACGAATAATGGTATATCACATTATAAAATCAGAATGAAACTGCCTAAAGATAACGTAATTTGAACAAAAAATCGGACGAGTGTTCCTGTTGTTTTCTTCTGCTTTATAACAGTGCTCATGTAGATGTTCAATGTAAATATAATGACTGTTTAAGCTTCATGCGAGCATTAGGATTTAGATTATTGATACAGCATGGGTGTTATATTTAGTTGTTTTGAGATGCGATATTTTATGGTAAGTTTGATTGCATAACAGTTTACGAATCATACGTTGTGTAGTTCAATTGTTACGATTTAGTGATTGTTTATAATAGTGAAATTATAGCATTTTGTTGCTTGAACATTCTGAATTTCTCGTTGGTTTAATTAAGTATTATTGCATCAGAATTTCTAGTATTGCATAGAATATTCAGGACTTCTTTTGGGGTATAATTACGCGTCAAAAATAATTTTATTCTAGCTCTAGACTGAGTGATGGTGAGTGTAGCGATAAATAGTGTATAATGACGATTTTTAAAGTGAAATCATCACAGACTGTATTATAATAACAGAGTATAGAAGAATAATTCGTTTTGTCAGTTGTGTTCTAAAGTAACTGAACCAGCCTGTGTGGACGAAAACGAGACAATTATTTAAAGTACTAGATACAACTGTGTTAACCAACAGGCAACAGTAAAACTAACATTTGTATATATTTTTTCCTTGTTTTTTAATATATTATTTTTAAAACAAATGGGTTGTGTTGTTGTTTGTTTGTAATTGAAATTTATAGCCAACAAGTCATATACACCTACTGTAAAGAATCCGGCCTTTCAGAACCTGACATTCGATGTAAGTGTAAAATACAAGAGTGTGACTTTTGCCCATATTTTAAGTATAGACTTGTCTGCAGAAATTAATGCTCAGACAAGAAATTTATCTTACAGGAATATGTATGACAAGACCATATTATGATTGCCTCTCATTCTCAACCTTCCATAAGAACAGGGTTCACCAAACTACGGCCCGCGGGCCAGATCCGGCCTGCAAGGTCAGTTCATCCGACCCACCGCTGCACTGTGCTACAAATGAGCTAAAATATAATTATTTATATGGAAATAACATAGATTGTAGATAAACTTACTATGTAGAAAAAATTAAAATAAGTGTAAGTAAATTTGTCCAATCTGATTTTTGCATCTGACAGTAATATAAGTTTTAGGAAAATCAGTGAAATAAAAAATTCGGCGACTTTGGATATCGGAGCGCTTTTTGTGTAAGTACCTGCAATGAGAGTTCATTCCTGCAGTCGCCTCTGCGTGCATTGTTGTAAGAGATACAGTGCTTACAGGCAGTTGATACAAGTAGTGTGACGAGTGTGCACCTGGTTACACAACTTTGTGATAGA